GACTAGTTAGGCTGTACAGATGCTGCGGTGGACCAGGTAGCGTTAAATCCTTTCCTCCCAGAGAAAAGATCACTGTGGACACATACAGGCATGGAGGGCAGGGGAGGTGTGCCCGAGGTGCACAGAGAGCATCACTATGTCTGTTAACCCAGTGAAATGATGAGAGGCAGAGACAGAGATTGGGGGACGGAGACAGACCAGAGTAAGCGTTGGACAAGGGAGAACAAAGAGAAATCCTTACAGAGCCCACGAGAGCTGGGGCGACAGTGCTGTTGATATGATCCACGGCCTGCAGGACCCCTAAAGAAGGGAAGAGACAGAAAGAAAGAGAAAGAGAGAGAGAGAGAGAGAGTGTGAGGCAAAGAGGAGAGTGGAAAGAGGAAGGGAGAGGACCAATAGAGAGACTGAGAAAGGGAGACAGCAAGGGAAGGTCGAGGCCTGATCTTTCACTTTATGCTAGGTCTGTGCCTCTGTGGTCTCTCTGAGGGCAGTGGGACAATCCGCGTCACACCAGCGGATGAGCAGGACCCTCCTGCAGAGCCCCACATACGGGCAGCCCCAAGGACGGGGTGTGGAGGAAGCATCTCCCCACCTTTTCCAAGGAAACGTGACTTGTCATTGTCTCTCAGCTCCAGCGCTTCGTAGATACCAGTGGATGCGCCGCTGGGGACTGCCGCTCGAAACATGCCTGGGAAACAGAAGTGAGACGAGCGTGAGACGAGCAGAGGGTGAAGAGGAAAAACCCTCATGCACCTGCTTCTGCCCTGCTTTCATGGAAAAAGAGGTAGTAACTGCTTGTGAAAATGGATGGCCCTGCTGGCTGGCTGCTCCTGGCTGTTCTTCTCAGAAGTGTAACACCTCAGTGGCAGAAATAAATGCAACCAAGGGTTTCCAGACTGAGGAACCTGGATCTCAGGCACCCAGAGGTCCACACTGATCCCAGAACTGTGGATGATGGGTGGAGGTCTGGTTCCTCAGCCCTACTCCTGATTCCAGAGGCAGCCTGAACCACAGCCGCCAGCAACTTCCTCCCCCTCACACTGGGGTTGGGTTTCTGCCTCGCTAAAGAAGGAAGGGAATAGTTTGTTGCCTGCTCCTCACCTCTCAGTTCACATAATTTTGGGCCCAGCATCGATGCAGATCTTCCAGTTGAGACACATGTGCATGGACACGCCTGCACAGAGATCTCAGGGTCAAATACCTTTACCCCTGCCGTGACCATGGCTGTGGATGTGTTACCAAACTCGTACTGTGCCCCAGGACTAAAAGCATAGTTGCAGCAGGGCATCACAGGGATGTGACAAGAAGGTGCATATATTAATGTAAAAAACCCTTCCATCCTGCTACCAGCAGGTGTATGGCTCAAGTCACATACACAGCAGTCAAGTCCCATCTGTCTTGTGTTTTGCCCAGCACAAGTGCAGAGTTGCTGAGCACAAGCACAAGCACAAGCAGAGCCACAAGCAGAGTTTTGGTCTTTGCCTCTTCCCCTGGCTTGTTGTCTGCTGGGGCTTCACTGGTGAAGACCCTCTGTGCTCTCAGCGGAGCGTGCCAGGCTACTGCACAGCTCCAGCTCTGCAAGGGTGGGCAGGGCTTTCCCTCCATCTCTTGTCCTCCCCCACATACCTTTGTGTGTGTACAGGTCCACCTCAACGGTGGGGTTCCCACGGGAGTCCAGGATCTCCCGGGCATGGATCCTTTCAACTGCCATAGTGAGTCTGTGGAGAGGAGAAAACAGGACGCATTCAGCCCTGAGAGGCCCCAGAATGTGGTGCTCACCCTTCTGTGTCTAGACACTGACAGAGAGAGGGGAGCTGAAGGAAACGTGACCTTATGAGTTGGGGCTAAAACTATTGGCCCCAGGAAATGTAGACATTCACCCAGACTGTGGGAATCTACCCACAATCTGTTTTGTCCAGGAACGGGGTATCTATCTGAATTTACTCTGTGCCTTTGCTGCAGATGACAAACTGGGAGTACTCTCTCCCTCTCTCCCTGCGTCATGGCAGAGCAGCTGATATGAGCCTGGATGGCAGGGCTGGGGAGGGTGCCACAACATCCACGGACAGCAGAGAGGGAGGGATCAGCTGGCGCAGCGGGGAGGTGCCCCTGGCTCTGGCGTCAAGGACAGGGCACCAGCTCCTGGCATCTCCTGTCCCCTTGCCGGGAGGCGAGGACAGTGCTTGCCCGGGCCAGGCAGCAGGCGGCTGCTGTGTTCCTGTGCAGTGAGCCAGTGAGAGCGATGGGCAGGGCAGGGGGGCAGCCATCCTGTGGGGACCCTCAGCCCCTCTCCAGCCCATAGCAGGGGAGCTGCCCCAGCCTGGCTCTGACAGACCCCCATCCACATCGCCCCTGCTGAGCACCCAGCTCAGCCTTCCTGTCTCCTCCATGAGCTGCTGGGTCAGGCTGTGCTGAGGCAGCGGGAGCATGGAGGCCAGCAGCCCGAGGAGACATCCTACTGAAGGCCATGGTGCCTCAGGCATTGTATAGAGGGCTCTGAAGGAGTGGGGACCTAGCCCAGATGCCAAACTTTCACTCTGTTCCTGAGACAGGGAAGTGGATGAGACTGGGAGGTATCTCTGTTGGATGAGGAGGGAAAGGGAGCCTGGTGTTTTGGGGCATCTGGTTAAACCTGAAGTAGAAAACGAAGCTGGTGGGTGATGATGGCTGTTTGAAAGAGGTTCTCTTGCTACAGTTTGCTCCCTAGGGGGTGCAAACCATTTCATTCCCACCATTCCACCTTCTCATTCTCCTTGCTGTGGGGCTGTGCAATGCCAGGGTGCTGCAGCAAGGTGCGTGTTCCCCCATGCTCCCGGTCCTGCCAGGTTTCCCCACCCCGGCTCCCCAGATGATTCACTGAACCCCGAGCAGGGCTTGCAGATGCTGGAGTGACCACGGGGCCCCAGGCAGGACCTCTCCGTGCTGTGTGGGAGCAGGGGCACAGCCAGAGCAGGGGCTCAGTGCAGGGTGCGGTGACAGCACGTCACAGCCCTAGGGGAGCTAAGAGGTGGGAAGCCAGAGTCAGCGTGCGACCCCACTGCCCTGGGTGGGTGTAAATCACAGGGGTGTGAGGAAATCGTGCTGCTGCTCTGAAGTTTCAGCCAGAGATTCCCGTATGTGGGAGTTTCAGTCAGCGACTCCAGGGTTCCCTGGAGCCTGCACAGGGCCCTTCACCATGTCCATCTGGGCTGGGATCCCCCATCAGATGCTTTGGCAGTGCTCCTCACGCCATCTGGCACACACCACAGGAACTTCCTCCAGAGCCGTGCCCGTGCAGCTGCGAGATTCATTTGCAGGAGTGTCCTGGCCGTGCCTCAACAGCCTCCATGGGGTAAAGAGGGAGAGTAACCCGTTTAAAGTAAGCTTTGACAGCAAGACCCGTGCCAGATGCAGTGCCTTTCTGCTTATGTGGTCACGTTGTCCATGGTCACATCCCTCTGGCTACATCCACCTGCTCCTGTTGGAGCCAGCTCCGAGAAAGCCAAATGACAAGCCAAATCCAGCCTTGCTTGCCCCACCCCATCACTCACATGATCTCTCTTCCCTCTAGTCCTTTAAACCCTTTACTCCACTTCTGTTGCTGCCCCGTGTCCCCCTGAGCTTGCCCTGCTTTGAACAGTGCAAAGAACCACCCTGAAATCCCTGGCATCATCTGCACTGTCCAGAAAGGAGGTCAGAGGCGGATAAGCCAGGATAAGGGATTGGGATGGAGCCCATAGCTGGGAAGCCATAGACCACAGCCAGGGGGAGAGAGGAGCAGGGTGCATCCTTGTGCATCCCCCCGTGAGCAAGGGCTGGGCGGGAGGCTGGTCCTGCTGCAGTGCCTTCCCGTGGGCACCGCTCCTTGGCACTGCCTGTCACCAGGGCAGCATCTCGCTGTAGCTGGCGCTGGCAGCAATTCCCCCTCCCCGCCTGGCGGGCCAGCACGGTGAAGACCTTCTCCCCAAGCCACCGCCACCAGTCCCGTGTGCTGCTGCGATTCTCCCGGGCTGGGCACTGCTCCCAGGAAGCCCGCACTGCTGCAGTGTCGTGGCTGATGCAGCTATTGCTTGCTTGACTGTCACCTCCTCTCCGTGCAGCCCCCCTCCCCTGTGTGGTGTGGGGTTGTGCAAAGAGGAAAACATCCCCTCTGCTCCCTCCCTCTCCCGGAGCGCCCGTGGTTGTGTCAACACAGCGGGAGACGGGGGCGGTTGGTCTGCCCTGAGGCTGGATCCTTTTCCCAGCAGTGCCCAGACTGAGCTTCGCGTCCTCCCCACTACCACCGCCTCCCACAGGGAAAGCTCCATCCCGCAGCATCTCCCGACAATGCCCTTGGGAGCACCCCCTATCCTCTTTGGTTGCCCCCCTCCTGCAGTTCCCTAGGTTCACATCTGAAATGATGATTGCCTGGAGGGGGAAGCTGGGGGAAGGGGGTGCTAGGGAAGGAGGGAGTACCTGGAATTAAAATATGAAAGAAAAGTGAGAAGGTTGTGGGTGAGGAGAGATAGGTGGGAGGAGCAGGGGGAGGAAGTGAGGGGAGTTTAGTTGTTAATGCCGCTCACCGTGGTCCTTCTCCGCAGGGACCCCAAAGTGCGTGTGGGGTTTGGAGGGCACAAGGTGGGGAGCAGAAACATGCGCGTGGTGAGGGGGGTGTTGGCCGTGGGGAGACACTTACCTTCCTAGGGCAGGGGTGAACGAGAGATTGAGAGAGTGCTGGTAGAAAGGAGAGAGGACGAAGATGAGGAGGGATGCAGGACCTCAAGGGGAGATGATGTGTCCTCTAAGCCAACGGCGGCGGCGGCAGCAGCAGGATGGAGACGCCCCTGATAGGGCCGGGACAGCAGCATGTGACCCAGAGCTGCGATGAGTCAGGATTTAGCAAAGCTTTGCAAACAGCACGTAGGGGATGGAGAGGGAGAGAAAGGCAGGCAGCAAGGGATAGACGTAGACAGACTAGGGAGAGGGAGCCAGAGAATAGGAGTGGGTGTGCAGGATAAACAATTCCAGTCACTCCAGGCTCATTAATTATTTTTATTCAAATCAGAAAATCTTGCAGGATTTTTGTGAGCCATAAATCGAACCACAGAACCTGTAAATCTCCCATTTTCCCTCTTGGGCCTACTGAGAATAGAACATATCAGTGCAGTGACTGCAAAAACACTGCAGTGCCTCAGGGCAGCTTCCAGGACCAGGGTGGGTAGCCCTCCTCTTTTCTCCAGAGGTAAAATGAGGTGAAGCTGGCACCTACATCTCTCGCGTTCCCAACTGCACATGTGGGGAAAGGCATCTCCAGATCCTGACAGCCTCTGGGAACAGGTGTTAAAAACAGAGGTCACTCAGTCACACCATCCTCTTGAGATTCTTCCATTTCCTGAAGAGACACATCATCCTTGAGAGCTCCTTCCATTTCCTGAAGAAGGGAAGAGGGAGAAGTTAATGACTCCATGCCTGACTTCTTTTCCTTTTTCATCACCCTCTTTGGCTAGTGGGGTTGGAAATGACAGCAGGGCTGCATGCTGGCCATCAGAACCAGGTTGCAAAGCCCAGTCTCTTTTTCAGGCTCTTCTGCACTAGGAACTGACGTTCCTCACCCTTCTCCTCATATAATCTGGAGGGCGGTGAGGCTTCATCAGCATGTTTGATCTTTTTTCTTTCTCTTTACTTCCTTCTTCTTCCCCTAGCCATCTTGTTCTCACCTTTTCTTTTTCTTCCTGCCTTGTCTGACGGATTTTCATTGCCTCTTCCTTCTCATCTTCCTCAACTGCTTCCTTGTCAAGGCGCTGCAGGTGTGGCAGCAGGGCAAGGACCTCCAGCCGGTAATTGGGTTCATCAGCACATGGATTTTCCAACAGCACCAGTGCCTGCAGCACGGGAAGAACCTGCAGTTTTTCTACCTCCTGAAAGCTACTGATCCCATTGTTCCTGAAGGAAACACAAGAGAGAAGGGGAAAGAGACCCGTGCAAGTAGTGAGATCCCTTTGGAACAGTAAGTGGACAAGATAGACAAAGCAAAACTTAGCAGCATGATGGACCATAGACCACAGATCTGTCACCCGAGATCCAGATCTGCCTGCAGCTCCTCAGACTGAGGGACAAACAGAACATGTCCTCTGGATTTCTCTGTGCTCAGACACTCCACTGAATCATGTGATATCTCCATCACCCTTTATGGCAAATGCCAGGAACTACAGGGCACTTGCAGACTGGACATAGAGAACATGCATGGAGTTATGGCATGGAATAAAAAGCATGAGGTGGAATATGAGAGTGACTGGAGAAGCAGATATTTTCTGAGAAGCCCAGGAGAGGTCCTGACTGTTACATGCCTAAACAACTGAGTGCTGAATGCCAGCTAAGAACAGTAAATATCAACCCATGCCTACCAGGTCTTCAATTTCCAGAAAATCCTAAAGATCTAAATGGGAGTACAGGCTGATGAAAGGATACCTGGTCCCAACCCAGAGCAGGGAAGACCCACCGTAGATTGAGATAATGTAGGCACTTCATGCTACTGGAGAATCCATCCAGGGTCTCCAGCTTGTTGTCACGCAGGTGCAGAATCTCCAGCTGCTCAAGCCCCTCAAGGCCTTCAAGGCTGCGAATGGTTGTCTGGGCCTGGGCACCAGGGAGGCAGGAAGAGAGAAGGAAAAAGGGGACACACAGGAGAGGGAACAGCAGTTATTTCTGGCCTTTAAAGTTCTTTCTACCTTTCAGACTTTCTACCACTCATAACACAGCCTTCTCTGAAGCTAGATCAGGTTGTTCAGGGTCTTGGCCAAGTGGTCATTCATATAAGTATTCAGATTCAAGGATCAAAAGTTTGCAGCAAAAGTGTTTCCTGGAGCATCACTTGGTGTCTGAGACAAAACCACCCCAGGTGAACATTTCATTGCCAGCACAGCACCCCCTTCCATGGCAGTGCCAAATATGTGCCTCAGAGAGCAATAGCATGGAGAGGAAAGCTCTGACCTGAACGTAAAATGAGTGTATTTAAAGGATAAGTAATCAGCCCCTCTCAGTCACATTGTCCACTTAGTCTAGGCATCTTCCAGTCAGCTGCTTCTCTTGTGGGGAAATCTACTACCAAGAAGTCTCTTCTACTGCTCTGGTAGCAGAAGCAGTCTGTGTGCTCCTGAGAGAGGAGGGGGGTAGGGGTTGCTGGTTGGTTTAATGTTATGATTTTTCAGATATAATTGTTGTTATTCATCCTAGGCGCACCTCCTTGAAACAAATCTTAAAATCGTACATCAGGAAGTTTAAAATTCCCCATCACTTCATTTCATTCACTTTACTGTGATGTGGGAAAATACGAAGCTCTGAATATCGGGAATAGTTTCTCAGCAGAATGTCGGCTAGAAAAGGCCACTAGAGGTCTCCTGCCCAGGCGTGGGCTCCCCGCGGTGAGAGCACCAACGATCTGTCAGGCTGCTCAATGCCTTGTGTGGCCAAGTTTGGAGCATCCCTCGTAACTGCCACGTTCTCAGCTTGGAGTTCAGCACGGCTTCACTTGCTAATGTGGCTCGGGGCAGCCGTCTCTAAGTCTAAGGACGCAGACACCTGAGTGGGAAATGCAGAGAGAGGAGCTGTTGTGCTCTCTGTTCCTCATAGGTACCCAGGCAGTGATGTAGACAATACCTGAGGCTAATAAAGGGGCACAGGGTGAACTGGTGGGACAGGAGAACACTTTAGGGCTGGGTCACTCAGGAGAAGGACATTTTGTAGAAAAGGAGCATTTTAATGGAAACTGGACAAGGGAGAGTCTGGACAAAAAGAGGAAAGTTGGATATTTAGTGAAGGTCACGTGAGCACATTTAATGGTCAAGGAGGATTAGGACATTGTACCTCAGAGGAAATTAGAAGCTGGTGTGAGTGGGGAGCTCACAGACCACTGGTTTATAAAAGGAATAGTGACCTCCCATCACTCTCATTTTCTTCATCACTTCAGTGTGAATAGTTTAGCAGCTCAGGCCTTGCAAGCACCAGCAGGACAATGCAGAATGGACATTTTTCGGGGTTGTTTTATTGTTTTTTACCCTAAACCAAATAACATTCCGTCTGACACACCATCACCTTACCTTACATTCCAGTTCTTCACACAGACATGATGCTACTGTTTTGTATGGAAAGCTACCATAGTATGTTGCCCATGATTCCCTCCCCACTTCCTGCACACTGCTGCGTCATGACCAGGAGCTAACACACTCCTACTGTGACCATCAAGCTGCTGCAAGTGCCACATGCTACACAGCCAGCTTATAGTCTTCCTGTTAGTACCTATAACTTTTTACATACTAAATTTCATCCGTAGCTACCTCATGCATTAACCAAATGTGGTTCAGTTTCTTTAAACTGAACCCTTTGTCTTGAACCCCGTCTTTGAGGCATCAGTTGCACCTACTCAAGGCTGAAGTAACACCAAAATTTTTATAGAGAAAAAAACCATTGCTGGGAGAGATTTCCTTGCAAAGGGATGTAATGAGCATGTGGACATGGGAGACAGATTCAGCACCCAAAGATTCCTGAGAGTCAGTTGTTCTAGTTTTAATACAGCAACGCAATTTTCCTGCTTCATATGAGCAGCTCAGAAACCCCTCAGTCATACCAGGAACCTTCTTTAAATACAGATGCTGTGTTTGCTTCCCTCCATTAACTCACTGAAGTGTCTGGGTATGCCTTGAAATGCTGTATTGTATCTAGTGACTTATCCACTTCACCCATTCTTTGAGAACCTAAAACCACAGTTTTCCACTAGAAAATTGCAGGCAATCTCAGCAAGCAATCTCCTCAGTGTTTTCTGCCAGAAAGTCTTGATGAAAAGAAACCACATAGGTTTTCAAAGCCTTTATCATATTTAATTGCTTTTTAAGAAGTAGTGACTCAGGTTATCTATCTAGTCTTTGCAAGCTGTAGTAGCACTGTGTGATGCATGGCCATATGCACATAGATAAGCCATACACATACATACACACAGGCCATGCTTACTCTCTTCACTTGCTTCTCTAGTAGTAAATGTTCTCTGAAGCAATTGTTTGCGATATTAGGAAATTGATTCTCCTACCTAAGTTTCACTGTGATGTTCCATCAGTTTTCTTTTTTGGCAGCTGAAGGTCTGAATCATGTAATTGTGCTGGTTTTAAACCAGTATTTGATTAGGCCCATCAGAGAGGAGAAAGAGGCACCTCCCAGTGTTACCCAGAACAAAACTGTTGCTTTGCCCAGTGATCTCTGGTGGTCTCAGGACACATGGAATACAAGCTTGCCTAACGCTGCCTGAAGGGAAAACTGCTCTCCTGCAGGAGGTCATGAGGGAAGAACCTGACACACCGAACGTTGCCAACTCCTCTGCAGTTTGTGGTTAGTGGCTACCTCCTTCGTGCTATCTGGGCCCACAGAGTAGGTGGAGCTACTCCAAAGAAGTGATTTGGTCTCTTTAGCTCTCTGAAATCTGTTGCTCCTTCAGGCTGAAAAGATTGAACTCCCTTCCTCCCGCTGGCTGGAGGTGCCAAGCTCTGCAGCCAGGCTCTTCCCCACTCCCCATGCTGGCTGATACCTTACCAGATAGAGTTTCTTGAGCTTGGGAAGACTGAGCCCTGCTGTGCTCTTTAGTTTGTTTCCTCGCAGCTCCAGGACTTGCAGGCTGAACAACTGGTCCTGACTCAGGCCCACCATTGTCTGGATTTTATTTTCTGAGTGCCAGAGGAAGAAGAAACAACAAGAGAGTTAATCCCACCCAAAGAGTGTCCCCACAACAGTGAAGAGAGGTGGTTTGTGTCACCTTTCAGGCTGAGGGTGGCTAAGCGGGGATGAGTAATGCCTTCCATATCCTTGATGCGGTTGCGATCCAAGCTGATGATCTGGAGATAGGAGAGCTCCTGCATGCAGGCGCTGGTGAGCAGGTTCCCATCCACCTTCAGCCAAAGCAGCTCTGTTAGGCCGCTTAGTGGAGACAAATCTTGCAGCTTGTTCTCTGACAAATCCACGTACCGCAGGTGAATGAAACTTTTGAGCAGGCTGATGTCTGTCAAGTTCCTGAGGGAGCGAGAATGTTAATGAAACATCTCTCATATTTCCCCAGCACCCCACCAGCTTTTGGCTTGCTCGTTGCAACTACTGGAGGGAGGGCAACCTCCTCTTGCACTTCCCTGCTATCTTAGAAAGCCTTGCTGGAGAGAAGGAAGAAAAAGGCAAGTGATAGGGACAGGCCAAAGAGTCTGTAAACAAGGACAAATGGTAAGATTTGACCTGCTTTCCTGGCAGAGGGAGTACTTATTCCCATTGAAATGTATCTGTCAGGAGAAGGCAGAACCAGAGCAGAAAAAAGGGTAAGTTTTGGGGAAGGGTCTGTTAGACAGCAACTGTGTGCAAGGACTTTCCTAGTGGGAAAAATGATGGTTCAGATATGTTTGAGGCTGCTGAAAGAAACAGTCTTACTGAGGTCTGTTAGTTAGGTCCAGGTAATCTGGGTGTGCTGATCCAGAGGTGATTGTGGCACTGTACTTAAAACTGCATGCCTTAAAGGTTAGCAGTGAACGGGGCAGATGTTAATGGATTTTCTCAAAGTGCCTGTAGGGAGGTCACCCGGTTCAGGTTCCCCTTAGGAGACCATGGTCCAGAGCAGTGGGCAGGCTCCCCTCAGTCCTGAGAGACACTGATGTCCCACTGGTGTGTCTGGCTGTGCCCAGCTCAGGGCTGAGGACGGACAGGCTGTGCTGAGGCACAGACTGGCAGCCAGGCGGCTGGAGAGCAGTGCCTGGAAACACTCCTGCCCCGCATGGCCTGTCACCAGTTTATGGCTCAGCAGCTCGGTGGCCGTGGAGCTTCTGCCGGGGCAGGCGCTGCACACTCACTTTCCTTTGGCTTCCAGCTTCACGTAGGTGTGGGACAGCCCGTTGCCCGTCTTACAGAGGAGAGACAGGCCCTCCTTCAGGACTTCCTCCGTCAGAGGACAGGGAGCCGGCACCTGGGAGAGGAGAAGAGAGCACAACACCAGCGCTGGCCTACGCACAGGCAGGCGGTGCTGAGGGCCACCCCCTCACCTCTTCTTCCTCCTTCTCCTCTTCCTCCCCCTCCTTTTTCTCTTTCTCCTCCTCGTCCTCCTTCTCCCCCTCTTCCTCCTCCTCCTCAGGGTTGTGCTCATCCCCCTCCTGCTCGTCGTCCTCCATCCTCCCAGGACAGGACGCTGTTCCCTCTTCCCGCGGAGGCAGCTTCCCGAGGCCCTGCGGCGCGGGCCGCGGCTCCCGCTGCCATGGGAACCGGAGGCGGGCACGGCTTCCCGGGAGCGGCGCGGAGCCGCCGGGGCGGGCTCGCTGCGTCCCGGGGCACCGTGTCCTTTGGGCAGTCACTTCCACGTGGAATGCTCAGAGCGCGTCCCGCCGCCATCACAAGCAGTTTGCCATCCCACTCCACCTTCCCAGGTGTGCGACATCCGCAATTGTTAGTGTATCCAGAGAACGGAAGGATTATTTTGGTGGGAAGCGACCGCTGGAGGCCATCCTGTGTGCAGCGCAGCCCAAAAAATGGAACCAGCTTCAAAGTCAGCCTGGGCTGCAGAGGGTGATGGTCACCCAGGCAGTGAATGTCCTGAGGAAAGACATTCCCTCTAGTAAATGTTTAATTAACATGTTGAGCAGAATTGGGCTTGGGGTCTTCATGAAACCTCCCCAGACATGACTGCCTGGATGCCAGGAAGGAGCTTTTGGGGTCCACTGTTCCAGCCCTCTGCTCCAGGCTTTGGAGATGGAAAGGGATGAGGCTGCCCATGCCCAGCCAAAGCCAACGGTGCCTGCAAGAGCCAGGTATTTACCAGCTGGGAATGTTACTCAGAGCTGATGGTCACCAGTGATTTGCAGTTGATACAAAGTCCAAGGCCCTGCTCCCTTTTCCTCCAGTGGACTTCGCTCCTCTGCAGTCCCCGGGAAACATCAGTGTTAGATAAGCCGGTCCAAGTGGAGCTGGATGTCAGACACAAGTGTGCCAGCCATCACCCCTCCTGCAAAGCACTCCTCTGTGCTGAGGGCTGCATGGAAGCTGTCATCTGTGTCCCGCTGGACCATCCAGTTGTCCCACTGGAAACCATGGTGCCAACCCCTTCTCCTGTTCTACATTTGCCCCATCTGAATTCAATCCCTGCTCATTATTGTAGAATTGCAGAATGGTTTGGGGTGGAAGGAACCTTAAAGATACCTAGTTCTAACCCCCCCTGCCATGGGCAGGGATGGCACCCATCAGGTTGCTGAGGGCCCCATCCAACCTGGCCTTGAAGACCTCCATGGATTGGGCATCCACAGCTTCACCTATTCCAGTGCCTCACCACCCTCACAGTAAAGAATTAACCTGCATATGAACCTTTCCTTTCCTGCCTTTGATTCCTGCCCTAAATAACCCCCAATTACAGGAGGAAAGCCAAATCTTTAAAAGAGAGAAATTTTATTTAGGTTATATATATATGAAAAGAAGGATCCCAAACCTAACTATACTGGTCATTAGGGAGGTCATGTGCTAAAAGCTGGTCTGCATACCAGGAGCACAGGGTGATGATGGCAGAGGGGAAACCCAAGCAGCACCCTGCCAGGCCCATCCCCAGTGGCCATCAGCCCACCAGAGGCCCATCTTGAAGAGCACAGGGACACAAGGGCCTGATGAGAGCCCAAATTAAGGACTCATAGAAAAGGATACCCTTTCTGACCTCCTCCTAGGGCTGTCCCAGGGGATCCTGACCCCCAGAGCACCTTTAGGATTAGGATGTCACTGTGGTCAGGGGTGTGGGACACAGGATGGGATGCAGGGGAAGAGCGTTTATGGATTGCACGGTACTCATTAGGGGGTGTTTACATCAGGAACCAAAGGCAGGAAAGGGAGGGATCTAGACGACTTGTGGGGAAACAAGTGTGGGATACAGGAATAAAAAGGGCCAGTGCTGTGTAAATGGTTTGTGATGGTTTGGCCATGCCCTGCACCTGATCAGTGCAGCCTGTCCCATCTTCTCATTTAACTCCTTTCACAATGTGCCCTGGGTGAGAGACCTGTGGCCAGAGCACCACAGGGAGTTGGCTACTGGGGACCAGGAAGACTGGAGAGATTGGGATCGGGGGGCAGCTGCTGGGCACTGCCTGAACCCAGCTGCTGGATGGACACACTGTACATGTGTGTATATACGTATATAAATACAAATATATACATGGGTGCACACGAGTGTACTTCCATTCTGCTCAGCCAGAACAGGGGGTGGCATGAGGCTGCTGGCACTGCAGGTGAGTGCTCTGTGTGGCTGGATGTATAATCTGTGCGGCCATCCATGGTTATATGGTTAATTGATGTGTATTCACAATCACAGAATATTCTGAGTTGGAAGGGACCCACAAGGACCTGTCAGTGTGTGCGTGTACGGGTGGTGCCTACTGGAAATACAAGCTCAGCCTGGCTATTGTTAGGGGCTGAGGACACAGAGCCACCACAGCCTCTCTTGGACTGTTACATCTGGCACAATGCATTTTTTCCCAACAGCAACCTGTTTAAGATTCAACCACTACACTTTGGAGGGAGGATCTGGCAGTATTTCCACTCCACAGAGCAGCAGTCCTGCCAGAAAGCAGACAAAACAAAAGAAAAACAAGATCTGGCACTCCTGCTGATACAGAAATGATTTTCCTTGAGTTTATTCCTCATTAAACGAATGCTTTCATGCCTCTGTGTTCTCCTCAAAGCAGCCAAGATCAATGCTCAGCTCCCATCTGTTTTTTTCTATGTAGGTCACTCTCCTGGGCTCTTGTGCTGTGGGCAGGGCTGGGCAGGAGCAGGAACTGACAGTGGAGCTGCAGCAAGCGGCCAATCCCTGTGAATGATTCTACCCACTCCCAGCAGCCTTAGGCCCCCTCCATGTTCCTGCTGCATCACCACTGCTCTGGCCATGCTGACCCCAATGCACTGTGGCACCGACTGCAGCCATGGCCCAGCAGCCTCTCAGAAACACATGCTCTGGTTGTGGACAATACAGCTTTCAGAATTTTTTCACCTCTGAATTATCCTCCTCCCCACATCACTCCACATGCACCCAGAGCTGGGAGCTGCCACCTCCCTCCTTGCTGCTGTCAGGCTCTTCTTTCTTAGACCACCTGACATCCTTCCATGTCGGATAATCTTGCTCTCAACCACCCAGGGCTTCCTAACTGTGCTTATCCCACTGCCACCCACCAGTTTCAGCGCCATTTTAGCCTGTCTCTTCTTCCACCAGAAGCTGTGGCAGCAGAGGGCTCTGCTCTGCTCCCAAATGGGAAGGAGATGCCTCTGAAGGGCTGAGGGCTTTTTCTTTTCCATCTGCTCCAGCTGGACAGCAGGAACCCCCCCAGCAGCAGCTAGGTAGAAGCCCACGCAGTATTAGGCTTTCTCCTCCTTGGTCCTCAGCTCCTGCCTCTCATCCCTCAGGTGATGCTGGCACTTGCAGCTGGAACACTGCCCCTAGACTCCCAGGGATATGCCGCCTCATAGCTAAGCTCCTCCTTGTGAGGCACTTCCTTTTTTGTCACTCTTAGTACTACTGGAAAAAATCATCAGCGGGGAAGTAACATCTAGCCTTGTGTCCTCGCCCACCAGCACAGCTGAAAGCAGGCAGCAAGCACGGCCTCAATACACAGCCTAAAATCCTTCCCTGCACAGGGAGGGAACTGCTCGCTCCACATTTAATGAGCAGTCAATTACCAGTCCTCACAGGCAGAGCATAGGGATGAGCACATTACGGAGCCTGCCTGGAAAGACTGGCTCACAAGTGGGACAGCCAGGTGCTCCAGTGTCTACTGCGACAGAGACACTGATGGAAAAGATGGAGACAAATTATCACAGGCCCAAAGAAGAGCTGTTACATGACAAGCCAGATGCAGGTTGAATTTGTGCAATGCCTACTGGGGCAACAGTGGGCCCTCAAGGAAGAGCCCATAAAAACCACGCTACCCTCTCTGCAACCAGCCACCTCCAAAAGCACCAGGTTCTGTATGCTGCCTGTCCCCAGCTGCTTCCAAATAAGATCCAGGACACACCCTTGCTTTTTCAGTTTTTCCTTTATTGTTCAGTACGGGACACAGGTGAGGTAAGACATCTCACAAGGGTCTAAGCTGACAGGCTCCTTGCTGATGGAGCTGAAGGATGCAGACTGTGTGGTTCCTTCCCCCAGCACCAGTGGTCCCCTCCCACTGCAGTACTGCAGGGAAAGGGGGAGATACTGGCCAGGTGGGCTGTGGGCTCTTAACAGGTCAACAGGCAACTGAGGATTCTGCCAGTTCAGAGAGGAGGCTGTCAAGACTGCTGAGACAGGCTCCCACTAACAGGACTCCAACATGGTGGGGGGTGGTTAGCAGAACAACTAGAACAATAACCGTGGAGGGGGAAAGCCTTGGAGGAGGCCTCCGTACTGAGAGGTGTGCAATGAAAGGTCCCTTCTTGTTTCCATTTCTTAACCACAAGGGACTGCTCCTCACAGGTGCTTCAGTGTTTGGCATTGATAATATCCACAAACTCTGGCTTGAGAGAAGCTCCACCAACAAGGAAGCCATCCACATCATGCTGAGAGGCCAGCTCCTTACAGTTGCTACCAGTGACCGAACCTAAAGAGGGAGCAGTGTTTTAAGGTCAGATGCAGCCAGCTCTAGGAAAATGGGGCCAGGACAAAGGCAAGACCTGCAAGGTACCAGCCATCTCTTGCAGACAGCAAGACTGTCTCCCATTTACCCATGTAAGCTAACAAACAAGCTAATAGGTGGTTCTTCATGCTCTGACAGTCTCAAGTTTCCTCACAAAGCAGAGCATGATGTACAACTGCAGCAACAGGTAGAGAAACTAAGCACTTTCCTGCCCTGGAAAGTGGCTTCAGACTCACCGCCATAGATAATCCTAGTTGACTGAGCAACAGCATCAGACACATGGCTTTTCAGCCACCCCCGCAGCTTCTCGTGAACTTCCTGAGCCTGCAATAGAACACAAGAGTCCCACTGAGGGCTGAGCCATTCTGCACACAATTCCCTTCCAAAGAGAAGGGAATTGTTAGATAATCTCTAAACCCTTAAGTCTAAAATTGTTTAAGTCACTAAGAATCTTCAGAAAATTGTCACTAAGAATCCCCAGGAAGATTTCTTGAGTGGGAAGGGTCAGTTGGCATCAAATCAGCCACCTTTCCCCTGCTCATACCTGTTGGGGAGTTGCAGTTTTACCAGTTCCGATAGCCCAAACTGGCTCATAGGCAAGAACCACTTTACTCCAGTCCTTCACATTATCTAGGGAGGAGGGAGAAGATATAGGTAAGCACAATACCCTTATGCTGGGAAGAGCACAGCTCTTCTGATAACTGATAAAAAGAACACCCATATTTTTTTCTCTTACCAGCAATAGCCTTGGTCTGTTCAAAAACCACCTTCTCTGTTATGCCAGCTTCTCTCTCATCCAGCTTCTCTCCAATGCAGGCAATGACTCCAAGGCCCTCAGCCAGAGCATGAGCCACCTTCTGCCCAATCAACTGGGAACGGAAAAGAAACAAGGCAACCGATAAACCAGAGCTACTCCTGTAATACTGTTTTAAGCGCTCACCCTTCTAGTCTTTGCAGGCCCATCTAAGCTGGACCATCTCACCATTCCATGAGGTCACTCACCTCATCAGACTCTCCAAAAACATGCCTTCGCTCTGAGTGGCCCAGGATCACCCATGCAGCTCCAATATCTTTGATCATTGCTGGGCTGAGGAGAAAGGAGATGACTCACACCTCTAGAGGAAATTCAGGTCTCAGGGGCATCCTGACTTTACTCTTTCTCCATGGCTCACCTGATCTCTCCTGTGAAAGCACCTTTTGGTACCTTGTAGCAGTTCTGTGCTGCGACTGCAATCTTTGCATCAAGCTTCTGACGGGCAAAGTCAAGGTAGATGGCAGGGGCTCCACAAACCACCTCTGGAAGGCAAAGCACACGGTTACCCTTGAGACAGGCAAAGGGCAGAAACTGGGCCTAGCCACTGACCCCAAGAGGTCATCCCTCTATCCCGGGAAGGCTCAGCCTGCCCCTCCTCGCTGACCTTTGGGGGGGCCCTGTGCCGCAGGACTATCCCGGCTATCCGATGACTCAACAGAGGGGAGGAAAGCTCTTTTCAGCGGGCTGACAGGCGATACCAGGCCGCTGGCCAGGTCACAGGGGTCCCTTGGAAAGAGCCCAACTGAGAAACCAGTCGAGAACCCCCACCCTGTGGGCCGGGTCTGACCTGGCCGAACCGGGGAGGGCCGTACCGGGCTCCGCCTGGGGCTGTGACCGGGCTCGGCGGTGGGGCAGGGGCAGCGCGCTGCTCCGCGACCGCCGGTGGCAGCGGGCTGGGGGCCGGGCCGGGCGGGGTCGCGGAGCCGCCGGGGCGCCCCGGGGTTCGGCCGCACGTGTCCGCCGGGCCCGCGGAATCCCGGATCCGGTTTCGCGGGTATATTTAGCGCCACTGCCAGCGGGTTATATTTAGGCCCCCGCCGCCCTCTGACATTTGCCGCTCCCCCGTCCGGGCCCGGCCCGGTGCCGCCGGGCCGTGCGGGACGTGCGCTACGTGCGGGCCGCGCCCTCACCGGTGTCGGCGGAGAGCTTGGCGCCGTTCAGCGTGTGGATGAGCTCGCCCAGGCTCTTCTTGTCGCCGTTCATCTTCCAGTTGCCCCCCACGAAGAACTTCCTGGGCGCCATGGCGGGAGGGACGGCGGGAGCGCGCGGGGCCGGTACCGGAGGAGACGCGAAGGTCGGCGGCGGCGCGCGACCAACGCGGCGCCCGCTCTTATAGCCCGGCGGCGCGCGCGGCCCCGCCCCCGCTGGCCCCGCCCCCGCCCGCGCTTCGCCCCAGCGAGGCGGGGACAGACAGACAGACAGACACAGGGGGGTATTTCGACTTTTATTTTGTCCCTCGTGTATTTTGGCATGTAAAGGGCACACAGGGGGAAGCGCTGCTCGTGGCCCACCTTGCTGCCTGCCCTGCGCCCCCGCCCGGCAGGGCAGGCAGGAGGAACCCCCATCATACGCAAGCCACACGTAACACACAAGCCCCCTCCTTCTCCTTCTGGACAGCAAGGAGGTGGCATCGTCCCACCACGCAGCGAAGCACTAGGGCTGTGTGTCACCAGGGTGGGGACAGTGAGGACATTTCCTAGAGAAACAGATATTCCCACCCCCACCCCCCCGGACCCCCTTCACTCATGTCCACGGGGGCTCCAGCCCCCAGTCAATTAGTCAGTCAACTCTTGTCTCCTCCTGTGTCTCCACAGAGGGGGCATGTAGGGACAACTGGGGAAAGAGGAGCAGGGGAGAGAAGGACCCTACTCCCATCCTCACTGTCCCCACCCCTTCTCCCCCCATGCCTTCAGCCCACTCTCCCCCCACCACACACAGCAAGAGGATGTTCTAGCTGGGAATCCGCTGATAGAAGTAGATGTAGCCCAGGTCCTTGGGGGGCTTCTCAGAAGCACAGACTTTCTGGTCGTTGTAGATCACCCACCTGCAACAGGCACAAGAGCTCAGGGATGCCATTCCACGGTTAAGACAAAACTCCATTGAATTCCCTCTCCTGCTCTCATCCCCGCTCCCCACAAGACCTCTGAAGAACAAGGGGGGATTTAAAGCAGTACCTCAATGTCTCCTTAAGCTGTGAAAATCCCTCTCACCTGCCATCTTTCTTGATGTGACAAACGTAGTGTCCACACATAGTCGAAGTGCCCATGTGGCTGATGAAGGCAAACAGCTGGTATTCTTGAGGAGGGAAGAGAGGATCGTCAGGGAAAGAGCAAAGGCATCTTACTCTGAAATACTCTGTGCAAAGCCCTCTCTAGAGAAGGTCCCTGATGGTAGTTCTGCTGGGTAATAATTTAGAACTGGATCCCCATCAAGTGGGACTGTGAGTGGTCTTAAGGCCAAACATGTTGGGAAATGATGGTAACTTCCATTTAGCCTTCTCGCTTCCAACTTTTTATTTAGCCCATGGGTGCCGGATGGGTAAGGCAGGGATTCCCCTCCATATGGCATCCAGCAGACCAGCAGCACTGGCACCAATTCTGCACACAGACTGGAACCAGTTTTGCCTGAAGGGCAAAAAAACCTTCTGGGATAATTGCAAAAATTCAGCACAGCCCTTCCTGTCTTTCATTTCATGGCACTTCCTCTGCCTCTCTCTTACTGGCTTCCAGGTAATTCCTACTCAGCCTGAAGGGTCTGGACTACATCACCATTCCTCCTCTTTTCCTCTCAGCTTCCATTTCAACAACCAGACCAGCTTTGTGACAGTTACTGCTGCTAAAACTTGTAGCACTGCATGGACCAGGGATAATAAAGTCACGTGGAGTTTGCACCCCAAAATCCACATTCTTACAGCACGGAACTCACTTCCTGGTCCATCGCGCACTTTGGGACCCACAGGGACGGATTCAGAGATGGAATCAGCTGCGGAGCGCCCTTCTGAGATATCCATAGCAGCTTCTGCATCAAGGTCATCAATGTGGCTAAAGATCCAATCCACAGCACGCTCCAGACTGTTGTTCTGGAAGGAAGAAGAGAAGACAGTGAACTTGAGAATCCCTGTTCCTGAGAATATCCTTGCACTCTGATCTCACCCGTGCCTCTCACCGTAGCCCTGAGCGCTTTCATAGCCTGGTCCCGGGAGAAGCCCATGGAGACAATGGTGGCCACACTGTCTTCTGAAGGAGGGTCTGGGCAGGCAATAGTTGACCCTGGTCCACTGGATCCAGGGAGAACTAATGGGTTAGCAAAGTCTGCAGCAGGAAACAGAACACAGCTCAGAAAAGTTAGATCTCTCCAGGATGGATACAGTCCAAGTCCCAACTACTTCAGTTTTCCCTTGTGGCAGTGGGACAGGAAGTACCATGGCCCAGATGCATTAAGCTTCCCTATGGCCA